AGCCTGCACTCTAGAGCCCATGAGCCACAACTAGTGAAGCCTAAGTGCCACAGCTGCTGAAGCCCATGAGCCTAGAGCCCATGCTCCACAACAAGAGAAACCACCGCAATGAGAAGCCCACGCACCACAACGAAGAGTAGCCCCTGCTCACCACAACTAGAGAAAGCCTGCACGCACAGCAACGAAGACCCAATGCAGCCAAAAATAAATAAATAATAAAACAAAAACGCAGAATGACTTCAGAGCCCTCTATGCTATGTTGCCTTGGTTTCAGAAAGGCACTGGACCCTGAGGAAGGGAAAAGGACCAGGCAAGGGATGATGACTTACCAGGAGGACTTGTATCCTTCGATTTTCTCTTGACTGAATTCCTTGAATCTCCTCTCTCTCCTTTCTTAGACACTCAAGACACTTCTGTATTTGTTCCTGGGAAGAAGGAGCATAAAATATTTAAGATGGGGGCAGGGATAAATTAGTAGTTTGGGATTAGAAGATACAAACTACTATATATAAAATAGATAAACAACAAGGACCTACTGTACAGAACAGGGAACTAAATTCAATATCTTTTTTTTTTTTTTTTTTTTTTTTCTGTGGTACGCGGGCCTCTCACGGCCGCGGCCTCTCCTGTTGTGGAGCACAGGCTCCGGACACGCAGGCTCAGCGGCCATGGCTCACGGGCCCAGCCGCTCCGCGGCATGTGGGATCTTCCCAGACTGGGGCACGAACCCGTGTCCCCTGCATCGGCAGGCGGACTCTCAACCACTGCGCCACCAGGGAAGCCCTCAATTCAATATCTTGTAATAAACTATAATGGAAAAGAATCTGAAAAATATGAATCACTTTGCTGTACTCTAGAAACTAACACAACATTGTAAATCAACTATACTTCAATTAATTTTTTAAAAATATTTAAGACGGAAACAATGATTTGTTAAGAGATGTCATCTCTGCCTCCAGGAATGGAATGACCCAAGGGAAGGAGTCGTTCTCTTAGCTGACAAGCCTGGGCCGTTATGGTCCTTGACAGCTTACTCTCTTTGGGTCTTCTTCCTCTTGTTTTGTCCTCCAAGAATTTTGATTAGGGCTTTCCGCTTTTCGCTCTGTGCCATCATAAGCTATGACTCTGTGTTCTCACCTGAGCCTTCCTGTCTTCAGGCTAAACACCCTAACTTCTTTTGCCTTAATGAATGGTATCGAGGATCTGTCCTGAGCTTGATACGCCCTTCTTCGAAATTATCCCAACTTTCTCACATATCCCAAACAGAACACATCCAAACAAGCTCTCTTATAAATGGAATCAACTTTCTGGGTATGATTCCGGAGGGAACAAGAAACTTGGATAACGCAAAAAATAACCAATGAATTGTTTTAAAAATTACTTGCTCTAGGGGACTTCCCTGATGGTCCAGTGGTTAAGACTTCAAGCTTCCACTGCTGGGGGCACAGGTTCGATCCCTGGTTGGGGAACTAAGATCTTGCATGCCGCAAGGTGTGGCCAACCCCCCACCAAAACAAACAAACAACAACAACAAAAATTGCTTGCTGTAGAATAAAGAACAGGTATACACACATAAATGTCCATATAAGCACATTGCAAAATATATTTAGAACTCTTAACAATACATGCTAATTAACTAATTGACACATATACATAGACTCCCACTTGTAATAAAACACAATGCATAAACAGCTAAAACCAGTACACACTCATTTAATGACAGATAAAATTATACACCATATATATTTACCCAACCTGCATATATGTAAACACTAATTTACCTACAAACATGAGCAGTCAGTTACACATGCACACCCAAGTAGTCAGATCCCCCCAAACACACTGCACACGCTGGTAAACCTGCAAACATTAATACACATACACACTGTGCAATCATTTCCTCAAGTGCAAACCCAGACATCCTCAGACACACCTGACTGATCCATGGTTCAGACACATACGTTCATGTTTTGGTGACTCATTCATTCAACATGTATTTATTGAGCTATTATTATGTATTGGCCATAAGTAAACAACATAGGGCATACTTAAAACACAAACACATGATCTTCCATGCCTGGGTCTATTGCCTGGGTAATCACAGAAGCAGGGAGATGGAATTAAGTTTCAGAGTGACCAAATAATCCACAGCTCTGCTCTGATTCTTTCAGTCCAGTCCAATTCCAGACCCACCCTGGGAACCTCTCAGTTTCCCCTTTCCTACCCTGTAGGGCCCAGCCGCGTCCTCCAGGAAGCGCACAGTGTGGGCACGGTGCTCCCAGGCCTCCCGGCACACCACGCACAACTGCATCTCATCATCCTCGCAGAAGAAGTAGACTTTCTCCCCGTGCTCGGGGCAGATGTCCTCCTCTTCTATGTCCAGCCGGGACACCAGCTTGAGACGCTCAATGTTCTCCACCACGCTGGCCAGCTGCCAGTTGGGCCGGAAGCTCCCTGGGCGGAAAGGCTCCTTGCAGAGTGGGCAGGTTGGGGGCTCCTCGGGGTCCGGGCTGGGGATCTCAAGGTAGCGGGTGAGGCAGATGCGGCAGAAGTTGTGGCCACAGTCAATGGTGACCGGCTCCCTGAGGGTCCCTTGGCAGATGGGGCAGTTGACCTCATCTGCCAGGCTGGTCACAGAGGCAGCCGAAGCCATAGTGCTGCTGCGCTTGTGGCCTCTTCAAGGTCACCCTCTCTGCTCAGCTTGGGGAGAAGGGCTGGGAGAACAATGAGGACACACATCTCACACTCACACACCTACATGTGCACATGGCCAGACACAGGGGCATCTTACATACCCAGTGACACCCTCATGGTCACACACACATACGTGTGCGCACAGGGCAAGGTACCCACTTGCATCTCTGGCAGCCAGGGTTCTGCTGTCCCCCTCCCAAAAGAACAGACACACACCCTCCAAGAGCAGAGACAGAGAAATAGCAGAGGAGGGGCAGAAGAAGCAGTCACAGCATTCCAGATATGACCTCAGTTACTCTCTGGACTGGTGCCCACGACCTGGGGGTTCCTGCTCTTTCCCGTCCATCCAGAGACACTTGCAGTAGAAGGAAAGTGGTCGTATCTTAACCATCCACAATTGGAAGAGACTGTTCTTCTTTTGGGAGCAGGAGGGAGACTGGGTCACAGAGCAGTAATGCCACCCCAGCCTCCCTGCAGTATGACCAGCTGTCTCCAGGGAGATTGGAGGTATCAGCCAACCCAGGGGAGTGTGGGGACCCAGATAAGGCGCTGTGCCCAGGGCAGGGGTGGTGAGACAGGGCACAAGCAGCTTCACCAACCGGCCTGCCATAGGCTTCCAAAGGGGTTGGAATGTACTCTGTCTGGGGGAGGAGAAAGAAAGATAACGGCGGCCATCATTTATTTACGATGGCCATGTTCCTCACGCTAACATAAGCGATGTAAACATACGATCTTATTTATTCCTCCTGTCTGCTCTGTAACCTTGGTGCTATTAAGATATTAGCTGGGCTCAGCCAGGTTACTTAGCTTGCTCAAGGCACACAGGTAGGGAGGTGGGAGGCCATAATTTACACTCAGATCTGTGAGTCTCCGAGCCGTGCTGTCCAACAGAAATACAATGTGAGCCACGTGTACAAATAAAAGATTCCCAGTAGCCATATTTTCAAAAGCAAAAAGTGAAATTAACTAATATTTTATTTAGCCCCAAGTAGTATCAATATGTAATCAGAAAAAATTAGTCATGAGACATTTTACACCCTTTTTATTTGGTGTTAAGTCTTTAAGAAGGGACATATTTTACACATACGGGACCAGCCACATCTCAGTGCTCAGCAGCCTCGTGCAGTTGGAGGCTCTTGTGCTGGACAGTGCAGCTCCAGGGGCTGCACTCTTTGGGGCAGAGGGGAGGTGATGTACAAAATAGTTGGAGTGGAAAGGGAGCGAAACACGGTGGGGTGCTGATCCTCCAGTGGGAGAACGGAAGGAGATTTCCTTGGTTTTATCCACAGATGAAGGTGAGTGGATGAAGAACCATGGCTGTTTGATCATTGTCTTGGCTGGCAGTTCAGGAAGGGCACGGGCTGGAAGCCAGGAGACTTGGATTGACCTAGCCTTGCAACTTTCTAGGTCTGTGACCTTGGGGAAGTCACTTTACCTTTCAGTTTACTTTTCCTGTAATCATCTCCTGCCCCCGAGCACTGTTTTCAGATTGGATGTAATAATATGAAAATACTAAGCCTTAGATAAAAGTGGTTGAACCTGTTTATCTTTCTGATTAACTGAGTTTTCTAAATTATATCAACATTGTGTTATGCTTTCTCGCCTTCTCCCCGCTGCAGTTAAAAACTAAAATTGAAGTACAATGTTACCCAAACTCCAGTGGGGACACAGGCACTGGGAGGTGGTGGGGGGGTAGGAGTTTAGGAGAGACCAGCCAGAGTCGAGGAGCTGAGACAAGGAAAGGAGGGCGGAGGAAGGGACCCGGTGAGTGACCATCACACCTGCGGCATCCGAGCAGAGCCCCCGGAAGTCAGCATCTCCCACTCCGTCTGGACTTTGCCACTGTGTGCACACCTCGAAGCCAGAAGTTTATGGCTCCCACCTGCTCAGCCAGACAGGAAGCAGCGTCTCCTCCCCAATTCCCCCCACCCCACTGTGGTCAAGGGAGGGGTTCCAGGAAACCCCATCTCCCTGTGACCTCATGGTGTACTCTGCTCCCCACCCCAGGAGCCGGAAGGACCAGAAGGAGTGGAGAACTGGATGACGGGGCCACTGTTGGGAAATGCTGGGTAATTTGAGATGCCCTGGAGTTTGGACCCACTCAGCTGATAGGTGGTGGCCAGGACTCTGGGAAGCACAAGAGGTGGAATCAGGTGGCTCCTCTGTCCAGACACTCCTGCCTTCCCCTCTCTCAGCCTCTCATTCCTTTCCCTCTGTGACTCATAAAAGTGACTCCATTTCAGGGAAAGAGGATTCATGTGGACTGAGACAGAAGCCTCAGTAGACGGGCTGGGGAAGGCACCATGATGCCCTCCACCCCCTCCCACAAAGGGGCCGCCTGTTCTGAGTGCAAAGGGCCCCTGGAGGATGCAGTGACCGCCACCTGTGGACACACCTTCTGCTGGCACTGTCTCCCCCCACCCTCCCAGATGGGTGCCCAGCCCTCCGGCAGGGTCCTGCTCTGTCCCCTCTGCAAGGAGAAGAAGCAGACCGAGACCCTCTTGGTCCCCGTGCCCCTGGGCCCTCTGGGGGAGACTTACTGCGAGGAGCATGGTGAGAAGATCTACTTCTTCTGCGAGAACGATGCCGAATTCCTCTGTGTGTTCTGCCGGGAGGGTCCCTCCCACCAGGGCCACGTTGTGGGCCTCCTGGACGACGCCATCCAGCCCTACCGGGTAAGAAAGGTAGGGTCAGCTTGGGACTGTTTGAGGCAGGACAGTACCCCAAGGTGGTGAAGGGAATAGGGCGGGGATCTTCATGAAGGGCACAGCTTCCACATCAGGGGACCCCAAGGCTGTTGGGACCCTGGGGCAGTCTCAGACTGAGGGGGACGTGGTTCCTTCCACTTGGATGCGTGGCCTTTCACGTCTTGGGGAAATTCAGCTCCAGCCCTGAGAAGACCTTGCGGTGACGGAGCACAGAGAATTGTAGCCATGGCTTCACTCTCTAGGGAAGGAAGGAGAGCAGGCTGTCCTGCAGGTCATGGGCAGGGTGGCCTTTGTCTCCCTGGATCCAGACTGGATATGGGGTCTAGCAAGGCCCTGACTGCCGGAGCTCAGAGGGAAGATAGGGATGGGGAAGGCATCCAACGAGCACTGCTCTTCTTTTTGAGAAAGGGAGGTGTGGCAGTACAGCAGCCCATCTGGTCTTGGGGACATTATGCACTCCTGTCTGCCCCTCAGATCTCTCTCTTGTCACTCAGTCACCAGGTCTGGAAGTGGCCTCCGCAGAAATATCTCTCATCTTTCCCTCTGCATTTCCCCCACTGCCGAATCCAGGCTCTCACCATCTGTCACCCAGAGGCTCCAACAAGGTCCCTGTCTGCATTCTTACCTTTCCCCTCACCCTCCAATCTGCTGCGAGGCAGAGCTTCCCAAAACACAAAGCCCGTAATGTCGCTGCCCTGCTCACAATCATTTCGTGGATCCCTAGTGCCCAAAGAAATCTCAAGTCTTTAGCAAGGCATTCAAGGCCCCTTGGAGTCAGGATCCTGCCTTTATCTGTCAGCCACCCTGCCCGGGCACCATGTGTCCAGACAAACTGACCGTTATGTACCTGCTGTTTGTTGAATTAACACTCTTTCCTGCTTCTAATACTTTTCACATGCAGTTCCTTCCTCCTGGAAAGCTCTCCTCTCTCCTCTTTTTTTTTTTTAGCCATTTTACCAATTTTTAAGTGTACAGTTCAGAAGCATTAAGTACTCTCCTCCCCCTCTCTTACCCAACTGGAAATTTATCTTTCAAGGTCCACTGTAACCGGTTTCTGCTTTCGACAAATTTCCCTTGTCCCTACAGGCAGAATTGTCCCCTCCACTGTGCTCCCATCTCACTGTGTGCACACCTTGATTATTGCATTTGTCCGTTTGTATTTTTTTTTTAAACAAGTTTCTTTTTTTAAAAATTTTATTTATTTATTTATTTATGGCTGTGTTGGGTCTTCATTTCTGTGCGAGGGCTTTCTCTAGTTGTGGCGAGCGGGGACCACTCTTCATCGCGGTGCGCGGGCCTCTCACTCTCGCGGCCTCTCGTTGCAGAGCACAAGCTCCAGACGCGCAGGCTCAGTAGTGTGGCTCACGGGCCTAGTTGCTCCACGGCATGTGGGATCCTCCCAGACCAGGGCTCGAAGCCGTGTTCCCTGCATTGGCAGGCAGATTCTCAACACTGCGCCACAGGGAAGCCCTGTCCATTTGTATTTTAATCACTTGTGACCGACTCCATCTCTAGAGGGTGGTCTTTTTTTTTCTAATTTATTTATTTTTATTTGTTTATTTATTTTATTTTTTGGCCGTGCTGTGCAGCTTGTGAGATCTTAGTTCCCCGACCAGGGATCGAACCCAGGGCCCGGGCAGTGAGAGCACCATGTCCTAACCACTGGACCGCCAGGGAAGTCCCGATGGTGGTCTTGTAGGGACAGGAACTGGGCCTTTTTCACCTTTGAATTCCTCAGCACTTAACGGTGTGCCTGGAACATGGTAGACAATTAATACCTGTGAGTTGAATTATGAATTAAGCCGCCTCTTTCTGCCCACTCTTCTCTCCACAGGACCGTCTCAGGAGTCGGCTGGAAGCCCTGAGAATGGAGAGAGATGACATTGAAGACATGAAGAGTCAGGAAGACCGGAAGCTCCAAGTGCTCCTGGTAAAGGCCACATTACTGGCCACCTTCTCCTTTGGGGGTTTTCTTTTTTTTTCTTTTCTTTTTAATTAATTTTCAACTGTTTGATTTCTATTTGGTTGTTTTCCAAATATGCTTTTTCAGTTTTCTTTTTTTTTTTCTCTTTCAAATTAATTATTTTTCCTATTATTCCCATTGTCTTTAAACCTTTTTTAAACATATTTCTAATATCTGAAGTTTAGGTGATGTTTAATTTCTTCTGACCCTTCATCCTGTTAGCTTATTTTCTTGTGAGCTTTCCTTGCGGTTCTCACATTTGGGGATCCCACATCTGGGATGTCTCCAGTCAGCACCTTTCTTTCTTTGTTCCAAGCGGGCAGGGTGGATGGTCCAAACAGCAGTGAGGGCCATGTGATCAGCCAGTATCTGGAAGGAACACTGGCTTCTCAGTTTGATCACTCCTCTGGATCCTTCTCTTGTTTACTTCTGGTCCTAAGAAGTTCCCAAATTTTCCCATCAGCTCTGTTGGACGTTTTAAGGATTCCTGTAACTTTTGAGAGTTTTTAGTTGTCTGCATTAAATAACTTTTGGGAATATATATAATTTTGTTCTAAAACATCAAAAATCCACCTAGCATCCATGAGTAAAATATTTCACACGGACATTTGTGACAGAACAGTGGCTTGTAAGAAATCCCTATTTTCTTCATTTAGAACACCACTCCCCCCCATATATCATATGATAACGTCGTTATTTGTAGAGTGTAACTATTTTCTTAATTCTTGAAAGTGTTTTTATGTTTTGCACAAATTTCTGAAGTGATAATCCTCCACTCTAATGAATAACACATGTACATGGCCAGAATTACTGTTTTTCTTTACTTTCTTGTAAGGGTGCATTTTTCTCCCCCAACTCCAGTTTTATTAAGGTATAATTGAGAAATAAAAATGCATATGCTTAAGGTGTGCAACATGATGTTTTCACATATGTATACATTGTTTCCTGTAACATTAAGGTAGTTTTGGTAGAATTAGGTGAATTTAGTCTTTTGTCTCTAGTTTCAATGCTTCCTCCTTAGCACTTCTTTAACTCTGTAAAAGTAATCTCAGTTTGGATTTTCTGTCTAGTGCAGTAGCTATTTAAAATGATCCTAAGTTCAATTTTCATACAGCTAGGTAGTATTTATTGGTTATACATTAACTGATGGTTTTTAAAATTATTATTCCCAGTGCTGAGAAAATATGACCTGTAGGATTTCATAAAGTTAATGGCACATTTTTTAGGCCTAAAAGCTTGCAATGTTAAATAATGTTTTCTGAAATATTAAGTGTTAAATAATATTATTTGAAAATAATAATTTAATTTAATAACTTAATTATTATTTGAAAATAATAATTTTCAAATAGTATTTGAAAATTATGTCCATACTCCATTTAGTGCTCAAAAATGCATTTCATAAGTCTACCTGTGTAGTCAAACTTCAGAATAAAGTTATTTGACACTTTATTTGTTTTTAAAATTCACTTTATTTAAACAAAAACAATTTATCCATTTCTCCCACTTGGAAATACCCATCTAGGGGTTTTCTTAACAGACTCTGGGGAAGCCTGTTGTCTAGTATCCGTTGCCGAGCTGGGAAGAACGGGCTGACTGTTCTTATTCACCTCCCTGCCTCGGCAGAAGGGCATTTGGGGTCAAGGTTATGGAATCCCAGAACATGAGAGCGGGAAGTGGTTCTGACATCTTCTAATCCCGGATCCGTCTTGCCAGCCATTATTTTTCAGAGCAGAAAATTGATGTCCAGAAAAGTGCAGCTCCCAAGGTCAGACGGCAAAGCCGTCTCATAATGAAATGGTTAGAACCTGGGTCTCTTGACCCTTAGTCCATTGCTCTTCCCATTACAGTCTGTCCGCCTGAAAGCATTGCCTTCAGATAGGATGCTTGGGGCCAGAAAGTGTATATCAGTGTCTGCATTCCGGTACTGACCACAAGGCTGACCCCGAGGACAGTAGGTTGATGGTGAGGCGATATCTGCCTCCCGCCCATCTCTTCTCTCGTGCTACAAAATTTTCCGGGAGGAAATCCACAGTGTGGGAATTTCTGGTCCCTTGACCAAGGAGACAGAGTTTGGGGACAGGAAGATGTCTCCAGCATCCCTCAACTCCCATCAAAATATGCCCTGTAGATGGCGACCTCGGTGGCTAAGAACAATGCCACACCATGCTCTAATCACAGCTTCCTTTCGCTTCAATTGCTCTCTAAGAGATCATCTCCACCTGACTCTAGGGATGGTATGGAAGGGTTAGGATGGTATTGCAGATGTGGAAGGATGTTTGAAAAGTTCAACATGGCTCTGAGAGTATAATGTGCATTATTATTAGAATCTCTAGGTGAGACAAGAGCATCGCCCTCATCGTTGGTAAGTTTATCGTGACACCTACCTCCTTGTACCACAGTATTATTTGGGAGAATGAATCTTGGAACTAGTTACTCCTTATCCCTTTTAATCAAGTTCATAGATGATCCTCTGGGAACCCAGCTCTGTGAGCTTCTCCCTAACCAGGCCTGTCTTTCTACCCCTCGTAGACTCAGATTGAAAGCAAGAAGCAGCAGGTGGAAGTGGCTTTTGAGAGGTTGCAGCAGGAGCTGGGGGAATATCAGCATCTCCTGCTGGCCAGGCTGACGGAGCTGGAGCAGCAGATCTGGAAGGAAAGGGACGAGTATATCTCGAAGCTCTCTGAGGAAGTCGCCCGGCTTGGAGCCCAGGTCAAAGAGCTGGAGGAGAAGTGTCAGCAACCAGCAAGTGAGCTTCTACAAGTGAGAGACAGCCCACCAGCTCATGGGAAAGGAGAGGGAGTCCACAGGAAGGGGACACCATACTGGGGGCTGGAAGATGCTGGAGAAAGACAGGAAAGGGAAGTGGAGATTACTTCTAATGAGAGGGACTGATGGTTATTGGGTTCCTTCGGCCCAGAGAGGTTACGGAGATGTAGTCCCAAAAAGGTTGGATGACTTTCCCATGTCACGCACCATGGTCATGCCAAGGGCTTTGGAGTGAACTTTGTAGTCAAGGGCTTGAGCGTCAGCTCATCTAGCTGTGTGACATTGGCAAATCTTGTAACCTCTCTAAACATGGGGATAATCATAGCACCTCCCTCATAGGGTTGTTGCAAAGACCGTGAAAAAACAAATTCATGCAAAATGTTTAGCGTAGTCTCTGCTTCACTGAAAGGACTCAGTAAACAGTGCCTGTTGTGATTATCATTATATTATCCTGTTTCACATCAGGTCTGGCTGATAACTGAAGGCCTGGTCCCTGCTAACCACCATCTCCTAATTGTTGGAGGCAGAACACACTCCTAGGATGAGGCTGAGACAGAGAAAGCAGCTCAAATGAACTGACAACACAGTCCCACATTAGTACGGAAGCATGATGTAAATTAACAGTCTGATGAGTAGGGAATTAGAAAGATCACCTCTCTGGAGGAGGAGAGTTTTGAGCTGATATGCTAAGGAAGAAAGGATGTGCAGAGTCCCTGATGGGGAGGATGTATGGAAACTAAGTGTATCTTTTTCTTTTGTAGGATGTCAGAGTCAACCAGAGCAGGTAGGGCCCACTGCCCAGTCCCACCTGCTTTACACTTGACCTTGAGACTGAAGAGGGAGGGGCACTCACTGACTCCCCCCACCCCGCCTCCACAGGTGGCTACTCAGAAAAGCAAAAGCACTCCGACAGATACACTCTCTCATCCACTCATACATAAACAGCCCCAATTTACTAAGGTTTGTATTCTAAGGTTCCTTTTAAAACTGATTGTTTGGTATTGGGGACGTACTTTTTTCCCTGAGAAGTGAAGTTAAAAATAATAATTACATTAGGCTGATCCAGGAACATTTTATTTAATCCCTGAAATTATTAGAGCTTAAGTCAGTATTTAACACCGTTTAAAATGTCAGTCTAAAAAAAATAATAAATAAAAAATAGCCTAAGGGGAAATATTTTGTATAGAATATGATAAGCACAAAACTTGGGAAGACCAGTCTGTTCTTTCAATCATTTTTCCCACTCAACTTTCCAATTTCTTCAAAATTTCAAATGCTACAATAAAAGGACAGCAACCAGCAGCTGAGAGGCATTACTAATAGCAGGGCTCCGTTCCTTTCTAAGCATCAGCAGTCTGCCGTGGGCTGAGCAGAGACACAGCAGCTAGGGAAGACTTCTCATATACTGCGTGCCCATGTATGTGTAGGGGGGCTGAACTCAGCTGTCCATGAATCAGGAAGTTCTCTAAACATACTTTCAAAGAGTGTCAGAGATTTAGATCTAGAAGGGCCTTCAAGGTCTTCTGGTCGGGTGAAGAACCTAAAACCTAGAGGCGAAGTGCTTGCTCCAGGTCACACAGAGACTGACAAGCAAAGACTGAGCTGGAACCAGAATTGAGGGCTTTTTCACTGCAGTATAGGATTTCTTTCATCTCCTTTTTTCATCCCTGCACAATCTCTTTCCCTTTGTACTGGACAGCACAACAAATTAGAAAGACTGTGTAAGGCTGTTTTTCAAATGGTACTGTACCGCCCTCTAGAGGCTAATGATCTCTTCCCTCTTGGTCCCCACAGGTCCATTCTCTTAAAGCACCTACCTCTAATTCTTGAGGAGTGGTTACCATGTGCTCCTCTTACGTCCAGCGGAAATGCTCTTGCTTTAGCAGCTACACATGTCCAGCAAAGATAAAGGGATGATGCTCAATCTAATTATTCACCACAGATGCCAAGATTCTTTAGTCTGATTTTAGCCTCATTGGGTCTGGATGACCCAAACGTTATTTTTGGAATTAGAACCTAACTGGTTACCAATTTGTCTGCAGGTATGAGATGAAGACTTTTGTGAGTCCAGAGGCCATTTCTCCTGACCTTGTCGAAAAGATCCGCGATCTCCACAGGAAAATACTCACCCTCCCAGAGATGATGAGGGCGTTCTCAGGTAAACAGGAAGGGGCAGCCGCTCTCCCCATTCCCATCAGTTGCCCATCTGCCTTCCATCCAGCTCCATCTTTCCCCACCTTCCAAACCTGGCTCAAGACATCTTCCACCTCTTAGGCCCTCCTTTAGTGATCCCCCTCTGCCCAGGGAGACCATTCCCTCGAGCATCTCCTCTCCCCAAGGACGGGCACTGCACTGAGAGGCAGGAAGGTGAGGACTACATCTCTTTCATAGCAGAAGCCGAGCCTTCTTCTGTCCCTGATGTCACATTGTTCCCAGACCACACCACCCTTTTGGGTGCCTATAAGAAATAATAAGTCACAGATCTTTCTATTTTTGCTTCCCTCAGAAAACTTGGTGCATCATCTGGAAACAGATACAGGTAAACACTTGGGGGCTTCGGGAGCCATTCTTTCCTTTATCCGTTTGTGAATTCATCCTTTCAATCCAAGGCAGCAAACAGAGCAATTAAAGATATGAACTCTGGAGCCCAATTGCTTGGGTTCTCTTTGCTCGTTATGAGACACTAACAAGTCATTAAGCCCCTTTGTCCCAGTTTCTTTATCTATAAAATAGAAAATATAATAGTACCACCCCACAAGTAGCTGAAGATAAATGAATTCATGTATGCAAAAAGCTTAGTATGAAACCTGGCACATAGTAAGTGCTCAATTAATATTAGTTACTTGTATAGATATTATTGATTCAAAAATATTTATCAAGCGCTTGTTTTTTTTTGTCCAGCATTGTGCTGGACTCTTTATTGACTTGGACAAATACTGAACAATTTTTAAAATAGCATTTACTTTTAAATTGGTGCTTAATTTAGAAACTATTCCCAAAACACCATCTCATTCTGCTTCTCAAATTAATGTGCAGAAAACTCACCTGGGGATCTTGTTAAAATGTGGATTCTGATTCACTAGGCCTGGGATGGGGCCCAAGATTCTGCATTTCTAACAAGCTCCCAGCAACAGCGGATGCCCCTGGTCCATGGACCTCACTTTGAGAAGCAAAGCCTTATAGCACAGCACCACTTGCAGGTCAGGTAGAGCTGTCATCTTCTGCCTCCTGGAACAAAAGGGGGAACTGAGGTTCTGAGAAGCCGGGACAATGGCAGGCTGCACAAGGCCGGTGCTCCTTCTGCCTCGCACTCACAGCACACGTGCTGTAGGGGTATTTTTTTGTGCTGCCAGCTCTGTTGATGGCCACGCCTTCCTCCCAACAGGGGTTGTCACTCTGGACCCTCAGACCGCCAGCCAGAGCCTGGTCCTCTCCGAGGACGGGAAGTCTGTGAAGTACACCCGGCGGAAGCAGAACCTGCCCGACAGCCGCCTGCCCTTCGAGGGTCTCCCGGTGGTGCTGGGCTCCCCCAGCTTCTCGTCGGGGCGCCACCGCTGGCAGGTGGAGGTGCAGCTGGGGGACGGCGGCGGCTGCACGGTGGGGGTGGTCGGGGAGGAGGGGATGGGGAAAGGGAAGCAGGGTCTGAGCGCCGAGGAGGGCGTCTGGGCGGTGATCCTCTCCCACCAGCAGTGCTGGGCCAGCACCTCGCCGGGCACCGACCTGCCGCTGAGCGAAATCCCGCGCCTCGTGGGCGTCTCCCTGGACTACGAGGCGGGGCACTTGGCCCTGCTCAACGCCGAGACCCAGGAGCCCATCTTCACCTTCACCGCCTCCTTCTCCGGCAAAGTCTATCCTTTCTTCGCTGTCTGGAAAAAAGGTTCTTGCCTTACTTTGAAAGGCTGAGGCTTAGCCTCCGAAGTGCGGTGCAGCGCCCGGGGATCCAGCTCCAACCCCTGGGCGAGTCGTCGTGCCCAAGACTGCGGGAGGACACAGGATCTCCGTCCCTGTGGCTTTGTAATTCTTTCACTTTATTTATCTTATGTCCTTCAACTCCCTGACGTTCCTGGTCCCCTCTGCTGACGCTCCCGCCTTCTGTGCACCTCCGAGTGGAGAACCAGAGGCAGGCGAGGCTGTGCCCAGGACACCAGCAAAGCTGGGGAGCCAGTAGGTTTTTAAGAGGAAAAAAATCTAAAAACTGTTTAAAGCTTCAGAATAACCGTCATGGGAAAAAGCAGAATTTTGTGGCGTTTGCACTAATTTTTTCAGTTGCCTGTTTTTATTGGGGCTTACACATGGAGGTACTTCCACCTTTACAGACCTTAGGGCCTCTTCATCCAGCCCTGGGTGCACCCAGGTCACCTTCCTGTCCGCTCGTTTCTCTTTCTCACAGAGAATGTCCTAATTAAGTGCGCCACCCACCCAGACGCCTGCGTTTCATGTGTCTAATCAGTGCTGATGGGGCTGAAGGAAAGGTTTAAAGCCAGTGGAATCTCTGTGACCTAGACACATCCTGCCGGTTCTTTTACTCAGGACTTGCCTGAGGGCAGTCTAGCCAGATCCCATTCTTCAATAAAAGGAGGCTTGTGTTCAGTTCTTAACTAACCTCTTAAATATTTATTATTGTTACTGTTGTTACTATTATTGGACACAGAAACTAACCACACATTAAAATACCTTCACAAAGTATGAATCTCTGTAGTGATGATTCTCACACCACCTCCACCCTTTCTGATTCTAGCTCTCTTTCAAGTTTAACACTTACATTCCCACCCTCCCACCGCAAGCTCCGAAAAAATCTACATTCATCCCCAGTCAGGTTCCCTCTAGTATAGATCTACCTGCACGATTACCTTTTGTGTAGTATGAGCCCTGCTCCTGAAGTGTGGGGTCAGATGGCTTAAAGATACTCTAAGCGCAGGTACCATATGTGAATTTCATTACAAAATTGTAATACGAATCACTGGGATGTGAATAATTACCCCTAATTTAACTGAGCAAATAGAAGTCCTTGATACAAATGAAGCCAGAGGTATTAGGGTTTCTTCTGTCACCTTGTGTGACAGGCAGAACCATGCTGTGTTTAACCCAGAAAAAAATCAAATTGTTTGGTAGTCCAACCTAGTAGTAGTAGTAACAGTAGCAGTATTGCCTAATGTTTATTATAAAAGTAGTATATACTGTACTCCTGGTTTTAAAAAGATTCAAACATTTTCAAAGAGTTAAAAGTCCCTCTCTCCAATTCACTTACTCTTATCACATCTTGTAGGTAACCACTGGTAAAACATTTTTGTTTATCCTGCCAGTTTTGTAGACAAGTGTATTTAGCTTTCTTTTTTTTTAACAGGTATGAGATTATACCATAAATACTCTTCGCAATCCTCCCCCTCAAAGAAAAACGATATGCAGCACATGCCTCATTGTAACACTTGTCAAACATTACCCAAGTCAAAAGTTATTTTTCAAAAATACACATCTTCCTTTGAACCTTTTAACAAACCTGTGAAATACAGAGGACTTACTTTGTTTTTCTCGTTCTGTGGTTGAGAAAACTGGCACAAGTTAAAGGAACTTGTCTGACAGGTTTCCCAGCTGGTCTTTGTAATCTTCAGGAAGTGGAATCCAAAGGTCCTGGTCCTCAGTGCCTCAGTCCAGTGACCTTACGAAGAAGCTCAGACTTTCCAAACAGACAGGTCATATGGGGCTTTGTTTCATTTTCTCTGCCCTGAGCTAGTGTTTTTGTCAGACAAGACTTTTTGGTTGAGTATGAAAGAGAAAAAACAAATGAACGACTTACGCTGTATCTCCAAGCCTCTAGTACTTCTCATTTTAGGGTGGTCCAGGAAACAGGGGCGTGGATATGCACATTTAGAGGCTCTGGGCCAAAATAACATTGCCCTGTATAAATAAAAGAGAATTTAGAAGCCTGAGGGGAAGGTTTAGGAGTAGCCAAGACCCAAGAATGAGGACTGAGAGCTGCCTGGAGGAAAATAATCCATTTGGTGGCCCCCCTGGAGAGTCTGAGGATATCTGTGTTGCAGTGTTTGTGCTGTAAATCCGTCCTTGTATCTCCTCTACAGGTTCCTCAGCACAGTCTCCGTTGATCTCAATACTTCTGTTAGCACTGCTGTTTTCTGGGAACGTGAGAGTGATGTGTTCTGTCCACTACTGGGCAGGAGGCAAAAAGAGATCCCACATCTTCTTTATCCACTCCTCTGTTGGTGGACATTTAGGTTGCTTCCATGTCCTGGCTATTGTAAATAGTGCTGCAATGAACATTAGGGTGTGTGTATATTTTTGAATTATGCTTTTGAATTGTGTTTTCTCTGGGTATATGCCCAGGAGTGGGATTGCTGGGTCATACGGTAGTCCTATTTTTAGTTTCTTAGGGAACCTCCATACTGTTCTCCATAGTGGCTGTATCAATTTACGTTCCCACCAACAGTATATGAGGGTTCCCTTTTCTCCACACCCTCTCCAGCATTTACTGTCTGTAGATTTTTTTTTTTAATTTTATTTATTTATTTTTGGCTGTGTTGGGTCTTCATTTTTGTGCGTGGGCTTTCTCTAGTTGCGGCGAGCGGGGGCCACTCTTCATCGCGGTGCGCGGGCCTCTCACTGTCGCAGCCTCTCTTGCTGCGGAGCACAGGTTCCAGATGCGCAGGCTCAGTAGTTGTGGCCCACGGGCCTAGTTGCTCCGCGGCATGTGGGATCTTCCCAGACCAGGGCTCGAACCCGTGTCCCCTGCATTGGCAGGCAGATTCTCAACCACTACACCACCAGGGAAGCCCTACTGTCTGTAGATTTTTTGATGATGGTCATTCTGAAGATGTGGTACATATATACAATGGAATATTACTTGGCCATAAAAAGGAATGAAATTGTATCATTTGCAGAGACGTGGATGGACCTAGAGACTGTCATACAGAGAGAGGTAAGTCAGGAAGAGGAAAACAAATATCATATATTAACGCATATATGTGGAATCTAGAAAAATGGTAAAGATGATCTTATTTGCAAAGCAGAAATAAAGACATAGATGTAGAGAACAAATGTATGGATACCAAGGGGGAAAGGGGTGTGTGTGTATTGGGGGGGATGAATTGGGAGATTGGGATGAAAAAAAATGACAGAGAGGGCTTCCCTGGTAGCGCGGTGGTTGAGAGTCCGCCTGCCGATGCAGGGGACACGGGTTTGTGCCCTAGTCCGGGAAGTTCACACATGCCGCGGAGTGGCTGGGCCCGTGAGCCATGGGCGCTGAGCCTGCGCATCCGGAGCCTGTGCTCCGCAACGGGAGAGGCCACAACAGTGAGAGGCCCGCGTACCGCAAAAAAAAAAAAAAAAAAAAAAAAAGACAGAGAGAGAGAGAGCCCTCATAAGAGCTGCCAATCTGCTGGATTACATACACTTGAGGTGCCTTAGAGGACCAGAGGGGTGATTATAGGGAACTTGAGGGGCATCTCTCCGAAGCCCAAGAACGGTGATTAAAGCAGGTTGGATGTGATGGGAACTGGAGCCGCGGCAATGCATCATCTCTGGTCCACTTGCTTGGCTCTGCGTGTGGGGCGCATTTTTCAGTCTATGGGCGGGCTTGCTGGCTTTACTCGTGTCCTTTATTTTCCTGCTCATTTCAGTTCTTTCTTTTATTCTGGCTTCCAGTTTAGAGTTAACTCAATAATACTCCTTCATTCTAGGTACATAATCATCAGCCCGTGCAAGGTCTTCTTGTTTTATTTATATTTTCTCATTTATCTCCAATTCTCATTCACATTGTCCTCACCCCTGCAGGCAGCTACTCTAGTGTTTTCCATGTATCCTTGGATACAGAGGGATCTTTGAATATATAAATAGTATGGCACTAGATCTGTTTCTTACTTTTTAAAACCCAGTACCATGATTTTTAAGATCTAATTGTGTTGCTGTATATACATCTGGTTTATAGCTTCTAATTGCAGAATCGTATTCTACAATACACATCACCGCATTTTATTATATTTTCTTTTGGCAAAGGGCTTCTGGGTTACCTCCATCTGTCTATGACAACAAGCAATGCTGTGATGGACTTCCCTGGTGGCCCAGTGGTTAAGCCTCTGCGCTTCCACTGCAGGGGGCACGGGTTGGATCCCTGGTCAGGGAACTAAGTTCCCACATGCCTCGCAGTGTGGAGGGGGGAGAAAAAAGCAATGCTGTGATGAACAGCCTAATACTCTTCCCCGTGTAAGAGCCTAAGATACAGCCCAGGAGAGGATGGCTGGTATTTGCACACTTAATTTCCTTAATTACCACCAAATTGCTCCCCAGAATGGCTATATCCATTTACACTTCCGCCAGAGGCGCTCTGAGATTTCTGCTCCCCTGTAACAGGGAAGAGCTAAATCAGACTCCATGTTGGATCTGTTTCTTTGACTTTCACACATAATGGCCGGACTCAGGGAACCCTGCTCCTCTGCCTGGCACTTAAACTAAAGTGCCTTTGTTCAGCTCACAAGGAGACAATCTGACCCTGCCCACCTGTAAATGGCTGAAATTAACACATCCCCTCACCGAGGCTGGCCATTCCAGGACGCGTTTCGCAAGACTGATGGCCCTTTTTACTTTACTTCCTCACTGCCTCTCCCTCTCTATTTTGCCTTTCTGCTTTACTTCCCTCTCTGATTCTATAAAAGAAACTGGCATCCAGACCCCGATAAGATGGTTTTTCAGAGACACTAGTCTGCCATCTTCTCAGTCTGTCGGCTTTCCGAATAGTTGTATTCTTTACCTCAATACCTCGCCTCCTGATTCCTCGGCCTGTAGTGGGGTGGCGAGCCGGAGCTTGGACTCGGTAACACCCCACCTCACCTCAACAATAGGTACTATCGAACTTGCTAATTTCTGGAAACCTGCTGACTGTAAAGTGATCTCTACTGTTTTATTTTTGTTTTTTTCTGACTTCCCGTGAGGGTGCATTATCTTCTGGAATTTTCTATCTTTCATTCATTATTCAGTTTTCCATCTTCCTTTTGTTGACTTCCAGGAATTTCTTGCATATTTAGACATTAACCTGCTCATTTTAGACTTGAAAATACGACTCATTTGTTAACTTTGATAATGGTGTTATTCATTAGGTAAAATCTCGAATTTTGTAATAAATTTCATAAATTTTCACTTTGTGATTTATGTTTTTAAGGTCTTTTTCACCACCACAAGATCACAACTCTCACCCTTCAGAACCTACCGTAGCTATTCCAACTCCAAATTCCAGAGAAAGGCTTTTGATTGGCTCAGTGCTGATTTTTGTGCCAGACTGCAAGTCACTAGCCAGTGTGTCTGGATGACACTTGATAAGATATCCATCTCAGGGCCAATCGTTGTGGCCAAGGTACCTGGTAAGTTACTTAATGCCTCTGAATCTTAGTCTCCTCAAGTGAAAAAGAGATTTAAAAAAAAAAACAAAAAACCTGTTCTATCAGATTATTATGAGTTTTAAATGGATTATCAACGTACTATGGTTCTGGAACCCAATTCCAATGTGGGGCAGCAGCGGGGGGATGGGATGGTCTCCCCACATCACCAGCAATTCTCTGGACACTAGCCGCATGTCCTACAAGTCAGCTCAATTCTGACACTATCTACCTGGAGATAGCATCAGATTCCACAGGTTAGGGATTCA